TTACAAAATGGTAATGTATGAAACAAAAAAATGAAAATGATTCTTTGCAACTCCAAATGTTGCACTAAAGCACATTCGCTTGAATTTTCATGCAAACGATACTAAAAATCATTTTGTAGCAATTCCAAATGCTACAAGGTGTTCGCCTGTAGCGGCTCACAACAAATTGGAAAATCAGCTCACGGAAAGCTCAAAGAGTAAGGAAACCAATTGTTTTTTTGTTAACGTCACTAACAATACCTTGGTACTGGGACGAAATAGCGCAAGACAAAATAGCGCAGGACGAAATAGCGCGGACAAAATAGCGCAGAGACATAATAGCGCAGGGTCATAATAGCGCAGGGACATAATAGCGCAGAGACAAAATAGCGCAGAGACAAAATAGCGCAGAGACGAAATAGCGCAGAGACAAAATAGCGCAGAGACGAAATAGCGCAGAGACAAAATAGCGCAGGGTCATAATAGCGCAGGGACAAATTTGAGCGCGAAAACGTAGTGCATCATCTATGATTACGTTAATTCGTTTGTCAGGGCATAGACTTTTTCTTCAAATACTAGATGTTTCAAAAGGAGACTACCCTTACAAACGAAGTAACTTAATACTAGGTATGCCGTTGGATTGTTAAAGTAGACCTATGATTAGGTTAGTTTGTTTGCTAGGGTATAGACTCATTTTGAAACACCTTGTATTTGTAGGATGAGTCTTTACTTTAACAAACGAACAAACCTAATCCTATGATTAGGTTTGTTCGTTTTCCATTCCATTCCATTTTCGCGCGCAATTTTGTTCCTGCGCTATTTCGTACCATTACTCATAGTTTATGAATTCATGAACAACACAGACACAATGTATCAAATCGACATTATATATATAAATATATATTTAATAACAATAATAATGATTCTTAACTACAATGAGAAACCTCGACAGAGTTACAACGATAAATTATATGCTACTGAGCGCAAATGTTGTTGTAGGTTTCTAAATGAGTAATTGTTGAGCAAAACCTTGATTCTCTCTTTTTCTTGTTCATATTTACTATTACCTGCACCATCATTTCTGAAACCAACTCTATATTTTTATTGACAAAGATTTCAGTGAAATTTTGTTTCTTCAGCAATTGGTGAGCTAATTTGAATAAAGAGAGGTTGTAACAATCCAATGAGTTTTGAAAGGACAGATGCCATGCCTCTGAAGAATTGTTGGTGGTAGGCAAATTTCTTAATGATCTTTCGAAAAGGTTCCACATTACATCTTTGAACCTTGGTTCAATCTTCTCTATTCTTTTTCCAACATAGTTCCTTTTCCAGTAGTCTACAATTGCTCTCAACTCTTGTTGGAGATTTTCTGTTATGATTTCCAGTGCAAATTGGACGTCTTTTATTGGTACATAAGCCAAGGAGGCCAGCATTTTGCACTGAACTCTTGTTTCTTCGGAAGACCTATAGCGTTCAGTTAATCCAAAATGTTGGATTTGGCGCCACAGATTCTGAGTAAGATGGAAGAAACATCCTACAATTTCTACACCTACAAATAATATGGAAAACGCTATTATGACCCTGCGATATTTTGTCTCTGCGCTATTTCGTCTCTGCGCTATTATGACCCTGCGCTATTTCGTCTCTGCGCTATTTCGTCTCTGCGCTATTTCGTCCCTGCGCTATTTTGTCCTGCGCTCTTTTGTCCGCGCTATTTTGTCCTGCGCTATTTCGTCCCAGTGCCCAATACCTTTTTGAGTCTATTTTGGGAGGAGAATGTTGTAAATTAGCTTTGAAGTAGCGTGTGATCATACAAGGTACTACATAGCCCCTATTCCCGTTAGATAAGCCCTTCACATATATATTCATCAAACTAAATAGTTGTTCGTTTCTTAATTAGAATGATTTTATTTGACATCCTTACAATTTTCTAGATTAGTTCGATTCTTCAACTTCATTGAATAGTTTACATTAATTTGTTTTTAAGAAAATTTCCAAACATTTTGTGTCATTTTATTTCATTCATTTTTTTTATTCAGATTCAATAAACAGCTTAACTTGGAATCAGTTTCTTTTACTTCCATTGTGGAATCTTCAATATACCCTTATCTCATGCTAAAGACCTACCCTCTGGCGTAGGCCGAACTTAGGCCCCATTTCGGCATCAGGCCGCCGCCTACAGCATTTCAAGAAATAAAACACACATAGGGTGATGTTACATTGGTGATAGCGGTGGGATGTGATTTTTCAGAAGGGGTTGAAGAGGGTGGAAAAAAAGGGGTTGGAAAAAAAAATTTTTTCTCCTGTTTTTGTCGTTGTGTTAGTTTATATATACTTACTAGGTAATATATTGGGTGAATGAGGGTATATGACCACTAATGGCAAGAAAGTTTTAATAGTATAACAGTAAATTGTTATAGATTGGATAGGTGTAAGTTGCAATAGGGTTTTCAGGAACTTTGAAGGACGTATCCTGGATGATATTCAACAGAGTACGGATTTCAGTAGGTATAGTTAATATTTTTATGAGGTAGCCAAAAAGTGTATGATAACTCAAAATTAGTACTAGGAAATCAAATAAGTTGAAAGTTGAAGTTGAAATAGTTCATTTTTTAGTTATTCGATTCTGATAGGTTGAATCTATTGAAGTGAATGGATGAGTGAGCGAAAGAATTTCTCTTCTTCATTCTGTGTTGTTCCGGAAAGTTAATAAAATAGCGAAGAGAAGGAGTCCGCGCTTCAAGAAGGAATTGACAGACAGAGGGTAGTTTGTCGCTGTTATCTATATTGTCATATAGGTTCTGATGCGGGTTCCAGGGATGATCAAGAAAGGATACACAAACAAGGACTTGTCTTGGATTACTACCCCAATTGTTGTTTGTTTCTGGAAATATTCAATTTCCTTGTTGGGAGCAATTTCATCATTTTTGTTTCTGTGTGTATATATGTATGTGGATTGTCTGACTCTCACAGGGTAGAACTATCAGAAAAAAATATCTATTGTCTTACTGTAGTTAACATAATAATAATGATAGTCAGTTGCATATTAGAACACTGTTAATTCTATCACAGCAAATAAATAGCAGATCAACCAGGAAATACATTCCGCTGCTACTAGCAGACTTTTGGATTGCAAGTTTTGTCTTTATAGTGACAGATATTGGAGATTGATTAATTTTTTTTCAATGGTTGGTGATTGAAATTGTTGAATGATCGAATAGCTACCTCGAAATCAGGATAGGGTTTTCAGGTTGACGAGAAGAAGAAGCAAAATATTTTGCGGTAGGTGAAAGTTGCTTTTTGCTTAGAAATAGTTAAAGCATGTCTTCTCCTCCCCCTACTAACAACACTTGCATAAACACTCCTGGTGGTGGAGCGCCTAACATGATACCAGCACCACCTGTATTGAGAGTACCGGCCATGTATTCATTAGGGATGGTGGCAACTACCCTAGATAATTTCTCTGGAAAAGATGCGGCGAGATATTTTGAAAAGTTAGAATGGCGTGCAAAATTAGATGGTTGGTCGGAGGATGAAACTCTCCAGTTATTCAAATTTAAGCTTATAGGTGAGGCATAAAACTACTTCAAATCGGATACAGGGTTGGACTTGGCGAGTTATTCAGCTCTGAAATCTAGGTTTTTGCAGAAATTCACAACGTTTAGGTTACCTGGAGAGAGTCAATGGAATTTAAGCAGGTGTTTTCAGAGACATGATGAGGATGTGTCGTCATTTTGTACTAGGTTGAGAATTTCAGGTGCCAATTCATTACGGGAGGATTTAGGAGGGGCTACTGTGGATGAAGAGACAGGAATAAGAAAGAAAAATAGGGAATTGCTTTTGAATCAATTCAAGGTGGGGCTGCGTAAGGACCTGATGGAAGAGACGGGTATTCTATTGTTGCGTGAACTCAATCTAGATCTAGAAAAGGCTGAGGAGCTGGTGAAGCTGCAAGAGACGACTTTCATGATGATACAAGGAAGGAGTGCGAGCATGAGGATTTCTATGGTCGATAATGAAGGTCTTTGTCATTCCTGTGGAAAATCTAGGCATTTTGCTAGAGAGTGTAGGAGTTCCAGAGGGACTAGGAGTTCACTGAATCCCAAGATGAGGAGGGCATGTTACTCGTGTGGGCAAGCAGGACATTTTGCTAGAGAATGTCGAAGAGTGCCACCAGGAAGTCAACATGATTGTTTTTTGTGTCATCAGAGGGGGCATTGGGCAAAAGATTGTCCAAGAAATGATAGGAATACAGGGCGATTAGGTTTTCGAGAGGTCAATAGGTAGTCTCGAGGTAGGACTGAGACTCAACAACGAGATCGCAATCCAGTAATGAGGGGAGCTGTTGGAGGCAGGGGTCATAATTCACAACCTGAGACTCAGAGGGAAGTGAATCAGTCAACGGGCGCTATACCAAAGCAGAGACAACAATCTTCCTCTTTTTCAGGTTCACGCCGAGACGATCAAGGTATTGATGATTCAAACTGTTGAGGCCGAAGCCCTACTGCCAGGGTGGAGGCCAGAGGCAAATGGAGAGGCAGAACAATAATTTTGATGAATATAACGATGGAGTAGGGAAAGTGCGTGTTATGCTAGTTCCTGAGGTAGCCTCAAGAAATATAAAAGACATTCCGCACATTATTCGAGTGCGAGTGAATGGAGTTTTGGGTTATTGTTTGATTGATACAGGGGCAGCGGTGACACTCATTCAAAGTAAAATGGTTCCTAGGAATCAAATAAACTCTATGGGAGCGAATAAATATCAGCTAACTAGCGTTACGGGTCATTACTTACGCACTTGGGGTACTGCTGATATTTTGATAGGACCTGTAGAGAGTAATCAAGGTACGACATGGACTGCTATTGTATGCAAGGATGAAATATTGGGAACAGTTCAGGTACTATTAGGAAGATATTTTCTGTACGCTAATCAAGCATTAATAAACTATCAGCAAGTACCATCTATTACTATTTGGGGAAGGTGCATTCCCTTTATATATGAGGAAGAAATTGATGTGAATATGTATAACCGATGTCATGAAATAGGACAAATAGGTAATAAAGAGACTGAACCAAAGGAATTGAAGTCGATGGAATTCAGAAGAAGTTTCGTACCACATAGACCAAAAAGGGAGAATATCCCGAAGCGAGTTGATTATCGGAGAGAAGTCGAAAAATCTCAGGAACTCGGAGATTCTGAGGAATCTGAAGAATGGATAGAATGGCTCGAAATCGTGGAAGATTTTTATGAAGGTCGAGTTACTAAAAATTCTTCAGAAAATTATATAAACGTAGAAAATATTGAAGGAAATGGAAATATATCCGTAAATCAACTAGTATTTATGAAAAAAATTGAGGAAAACACGAACGATACTTCGCAGACAGAAATAACGACGAAATCAAAGTGCGGAGACATTAGTACCCAAACCGAATTTGACAATCGAATAGACGTATTAGAGCATGAAGCAATAGAAGTAGTGACGGCGTTGAATAATATGGAGGATATAGAACAGGAAAATGCCGTTTGTTCGGCAATTTCTACGATCGAAAATCAAACCACTGAGGAAACCATAGCGGAAATTCCTCGACATACTTGGGAAACAGACATAATATTAGAAAATGATGTCACTATTCCAGCTCGCACAGAAGCGATGGTGTACGCAAAACTTAAGTTCAACTTGGAAGGAAACCTAATAGTTTGCGAGCCAATAGAATTAGGAAATGGATATGTTCATACAGCTAGCTGCTTGTTAGAAAATTCCTCGAAAATTTGGGTACGAGTTCTCAATGTATCCTGTGAGGAAATTAGACTTGTGAAAAACCAGAAACTTGCGAAGGCTATTACTTGCGATATAGAAGAGGGAAGAGACGTGGAAACTGAGTATATGATTGGACAATTGAACAGAACAAATAACGAAGGGAACTTAGAAGGGTTCAATCTTGAACACCTCGATGAAAAAACACAGGAATACTTCGGAATTATCAGGACTTGTTCATGGAAGAAGAGGATAACTTGACAAGTACTACAAAGGTGAAACATAGTATAACCTAAGAGCCCGGAGCACAACCTATATGTAAAGCACCCTATAGAATTCCGTATCAACAGCGAGAAGTTCTACAAAAAGCAATCGATAGATTGATGAACTCAGGTGTCATCCGTTCATCATCTAGCCCGTGGTCAGCTCCAGTTGTACTTGTCACAAAAAAACTACCTAATGGAGAAGATAAGGTGAGAATGTGCATCGATTATCGAGGATTGAATACTGTGACTGAAAAGGAATATCATCCCCTGCCTAATATTTCGGATTTAATTCAAGGTTACAGATCAGGAAGCGAAGCATTGTTTTTGGTTATCGATGTTGCAGAAGCGTACCATCAGATAGATATGGAAGATGAAGATATCCCATTAACCGGCTTCAGCACGTTTCAAGGCCACTACGAGTATACTAAAATGTCATTTGGCTTAGTCAATGCACCGTCAACATTCCAGCGATTTATGAACATCACATTAGCCGGGCTCACAGGAGAACTTTGCATGGTTTATCCAGATGATATTATTATTTTTAATTCCGAGGGAAAAGAGGAGCATATCGAGAGGTTAGAAAAAGTTTTCGCGAGGTTGAGAGAAGCAAATGTCAAATTGAAGGCTAAAAAGTGTAGCTTCTTACTCAAAAAAGTAAAATATTTAGGGCATATGATAACACAAGATGGAGTGCTTTCAGATCCTTATAAAATCGATTCAATACATAAATTTCCTATACCGAAAACCATTCGAGGTGTACGATCGTTCCTAGGATTGGTAAACTGGTATCGAAGATTTATACCGAATGCATCTGAACTTATTACACCACTGACGAATTTGACTCGAAAAGAAACGAAATTCGAAATTACATCTGAAGTACTTGAGTCGATAGAAGAGTTGAAGGAAACTTTGACATCGGATATGATTTTGATTTTTCCTGATTTCGAACAATCATTCATACTAGCTGCAGACGCGTCTTGGCTGGGAGTAGGAGCTGTGCTCAGTCAAATCAGAGACGGATATGAACGACCTGTGGAATATGCTAGCCGAAATTTCAAAAAGGCAGAATTAAATTATTCTACTACAGAGAAGGAACTCTTGGGAGTGGTGTTTGGAATTCAGACTTTCAGGTGTTATTTATATGGAAAGGAATTCACTGTGATCTCTGATCACCGGCCATTGAAATGGTTATTGTCATTGAAGGATCCAGGGTCGCGACTGACAAGGTGGGCTCTGACACTGGCGGACTATGATTTTGAGGTGATTCATAGAAGAGGAAAATTACACGGGAACGCTGATGCGCTTAGTCGCATGTTTTGTAAAGAAGATCACTACATTGATTTGGAATATGGAGATTATTCAGAGTATCAGAAGATTCATCAGATACCTCGAATAAAAAATTTGAAGATGAAACAGGGAGACCTATTTTCAGCGCCAGAAGAGTGGGCACTAGCACATTGTGTGTCACAGGACTTAGCCATGGGTAAAGGTATAGCATTGCAATTCCGAAATATATATAATAGTGTAGAAAAATTGAGACAACAGAAAAATGTTGGCGAAGTTGCGGAATTGAATTTACCCGAAAGAAATATTTATTATTTGGTTACTAAACGTAAATATAATGAAAAACCTTCATATAGATCGATATGGAATGCCCTACGTAGCCTCAGAAACTGTTCTGATAGAAACAAGGACCAAGTGATAAGTATGCCGAAAATTGGATGTGGACTAGATGAGCTTGTATGGGAAAAAGTGCGAGAGATGATAGAGTTTATATTTTATAATTCTAACATTGAAATATGTGTTTACGAAGGAACTCTGACAATTGCAGCAGGATGAGGACTACTTTTGTCAAACATTACAGGAACAAATTGAGGGAAATGAAGATGAACTACTAGGAGCAAAGTATTATTTGTCCAAGGATGGAATTATTTATCGCACAGATGCAGACGGAGATAAATTGATCATTCCTAAAGTGTTTGTAACGAAACTGATGGAGGACTTCTACGATTCACCTATGGCTGGGCATCATTGTCAACAAAAGACGTTAGCCAGCTTGAAACAAAGATTTTTCTGGCCGTATATGCGAACTGATGTCATTAACTACTGCACAAGTTGCGACGCATGTAATCGAAGAAAAACTTCGCCCCACCAGAAAAAAGCTCCATTACAAAGATTCACTTCTACTACAGAACCGTGGGAATTAACATCCACTAGTGTGGACTTGTTCAATCGATGTTACACGAATTATAACTCACTGTGGCATGCATAGCCATAGTTCTATCGTGGCCGGAGGTATATCCAATTTTATATACCGTATCGGTGCTGAAGAATGTCGAACGCTCCATCGCTACAAATTGTTGAAGATATACCAACAGGACATTGGAAGCATTACTATGAATGGGACCACAACTGCGACCCTTACTATAGGAGGTTCAGTAGATTTAGATGGATCTTGTCAAGGATCAACCATGAAAATGGACAGACTTGGGAAAATGTGGTTATCATTGCTACAATAAAAATTCAGGTGACTGATTAACTAGCCAGGGTCAAGATGGACGAGGATGAACTGGTTCTATCAGGAGGAGTTATCTGCCCATTCTTGAAAGAATACTGCTTCAACACACTATGCCTGGGAGAAATCACGTGGGACGTCAACCCTTTACGAACATGTGAGGAGAAATTCAGCTTGCTTTATAATGGACAGGCGGAGAAAGTTGTCAATCAACTAACTACGGAACAAATAATTGTAGTGGAGGACAGCAGCAAAGTATTCGCGGTAACTCTAGTGAAGAAGATAAATATCTGCCAGATGGAAATATGGCAGACTGAGCATCCCAGAATACTGGTTATTGAAGGAAAACAGCAGGATCTATTCAATCCGACGATCAACATTTCACCTCATAATGCAGATATAATCCCAATCAGCCAAAGTACGTCTTAAAGGCGTCTTTAAGACGTACATGTCGGGACATAAGTACGTCTTGAAGACGTACATATTACGCCCAAGAAACGTCTTTAAGACGTCTTTAAAACGTACATTTTCCACTAATATGTACGTCTTTAAGACGTCTTTTTTAGGTGTTTTCGGTCCATGACCTCAAATTGATCTTTCAAATTACGGAAAAATCACATAGTTTCAGTTGATTTTCACCTGTGCACTGAAGTTAGCAAGAAGTGCAGACAAGCAAAAAAAAAGGGAAATAAACGACTTCATCAAACGGTAGACACAAGCGGTCACCTATTCAAGTACTAACCGCGCTCTTTGTTGCTTGACTTCGATGATTATACCATATTCACTTCTTCTGTTACTCTGTTTGTTCTATATATCACATAACAAGCTTTTACTTACTTTAACATGTCCTTGTGTCTGTTTGTAATCAAAATGTGCAAGTTAAATTTGACTCACTCTAAATCATCCGATTGATTTGAAATTTGGCAAGTAAAATATCATTCCGGTGACAATTCGTTGTGATATTATTATTGAATGGAAAAAAACAGAATGGCGGATCCAATATGGCGGACGATTTTCTCATTGATTATGTTCCGATTCGAATCAAAATTCAATATTCAAGATGGTGAATCCAATGTGGCATATGGTTTTCTGATTATGGTCTGATCTGATTCAAAATTGGCATCTGAAGGATTCCGGGATCAGAGATTATAATTCCTCTTGTCGAAAATGAAAAATCCAAAATGTCGGCTTCAAAATGGCGGACGAGTTTTGTGATTATAGTCCGATTTTATTCAAAATTGATTACTATGGGACTTTCGGTTCGGAGAATATGATTTTTTTGTAAAAATTCGAGAATCTAACACGAAGGCTCCAAAATGTCGGACGAAAAAATTCAAAAACATTGTTGAAAATAAGAAAAAACTGAACAATTGAAAATAAAAAACGTGAAGAGATGACATTTTGTTTTTCTTCAGAAAATAACTTACATTATTGTTCTATAAGTCGAATTGACGTACTGGAATGTACGTCTTCAAGACGTCTTTTATACGACATGGGAGGAACGACGTGGATACGACCTAAAATGTACGTCTTAAAGACGTAAATTCGTGTACGTCTTTAAGATGTACATGGATTTATATCTTAAAGACGTACTTTATACGTCCCTGGACGTGAAGACGTGAGTGAGTCGTAAAATGTACGACTTTAAGATGTCTGGTGCTGATTGGGATGGTGTACGTGAATAGTAAATTCTTGTACGTAGAACAAGCGTACATGCGAAAATTGAACCAGTTATATACTGATACTGTGCACCGGCGATGTCTCTTACAAAGAGAGATATTGCAAAATCGCCTTCTGATGGCGCCACTCGTACCCAACACCCTAAGCCAGCTGGTAAAGGGAAGAGGAGGCTATGTAGGACGTGTACTTGGGGAAGTACTATATATCATGAGGTGCGTCCCCCGAACCGTAACAATTCGACGAACCGAAAAATGTTACCATGAACTTCCCATTTTAGTAAATAATCTGACCAAATTCATGGCTCCAGTAACAAGAATTATTCAATCTTATGCAGAAGAGGTAGATTGTACTGCATTAACGCCACCGTTGTATTTGATAGATGATCAATGGATAGGATTATCGCCCTATCCGACGGTTAAAAAGGCACCAGAAGAGCTATCACCAAAATCACATTTAACGCTGAGCTTTGCCCCTATCCAGCCAATTGGCACACTTGCAATATATACTCAGGAGGAAATAACCAATGCCCAGAGGATTTTGACTTTCGGAAACGAAAGAAAAGCTGTGGAAAACATCATAGCTCGTAGGGTAGCGGGATTGGAGACAACCGGGCAAGGTTCCTCTTCTTCAAACATTTTCAACCCGGAAGAGATGAGGGAGTTGGCACATAATACTATGCAGCAGATCTGGGGATGGTTCACAGACCTTGGATTATTCATGAGTGGACTCATGGGATTTTACGCAATATTCAGAATGTTGAAATATGCAATAGGAGTGATTTTAAATGGTTTCCACATTTACCAGACCATGGGCTGTAGAGTTGTTATATTGGCTAGTCTATGGAATACACTTACTATGTGGGTGACTCGTAGCTATCCCTCTAATCTAACCACAGCAGCAACCAACGCGGAAGGAACAAATTTGGAGCGGTTGGAGGAGGTGAGGACCCCATCAATTTATCCTTGCGTCCCAACATCACCCCATTGGACAGAACAACAAAGCAGCCGCGAAACGAAAGAAATGTAAAGAACGAAGTTACCGGGTAACCGAATTCCTATTCCCCGTGCGCGTTCAAAAAAACTGAGTAGAAAAAAACATTATTTTTCTAAACAATGTCGCAAGATAGGACTCATAAGTGTGCGGCGACATAAATATTAGTTAGGTGTGTAGCAGAAGTCCTGGGAATCTCGGATGTGAAGGTTATTTCCCCATCAAGAGGCCCCCAACATTCAACGGCAGCAGTTTTAGGGAAGTGGATTAGTGCCGAAAGAAGGGACGCGAAAAGTTTGTTCGAAACGAGAAAAGTGCGCGAAAGAATAATTGTACTGGGGTAGTTGTTAGATTAGCTTTAGTTGAACATTGGGAACACAAGATGTTCATAAACAAAATTCAATTGTTCGTTTAAGAAGACATTGTATCGTAGTCTTTGTTGTCGACAAGAGAAAGCATTTTGATGTTGGTGAGGAGTTTAGAATTCAACTTTTTTGCTTTAGATATAAGCTGAAATATATGTAGAGCCACTGTTTGTCTCCTTGAAGTGATGAAAAATTGTTAGGGACTTCTATGTAGGTATGTGGAAAAGTGATGGCATGGTGTGGCCAAAACTTTTTCTTTGTGGGGAGTATTGTAGCACCCTGTATGTGAATTGCTTCGCATTGGAAAATAGTCTCTTGAAACTTAATCATTTTCTTATACAGACGACTTGGTGATGGGATTGTTCGTTCCGAACAATAAGACCTTATCATATCCATACATGTTATTGTGGCTCGGATCAAGTCGCGAAGAGCGCCGAACTCCTGAGCAAGATTTAGTACCGTGAGATCGAAAATATGAAAGAATGATTATCAGTTAATTCTTTATCATGAGGTGCTGATGCTGAGAAATGATGGAAATAAGATGAAGTTTTAGGTTTTCTCAGGCAGGCTGTCTTTCTGAGACATAAGCAAAATACTCGGCCATAATCATAATGGGCGGCACCTAAGAGGAAAATTGAATCTTGGACAAATGGGAATGAAGATCGCGACTAGAAATTGAAGGCGGAGACCACCGGGCATAGAATGGGAATGGGATTCTTTATGTTTTGGTGGAGACTGAAGAGGAAATGGGATTTTGCGGGACGAGCGAAGAAGAGTCAGCGACAGGTCGCGTTCGAAAAAGGGTTCGGGCGAGGAGATCGTGAAGGTAGGCTCGCGACAGGTGGCAGATATTCGGGGAAACTTTAGGTCACGGTCGTACGAGGGAGGACTAGCGAGTCCTAGGGAATTTGGTGTCAGTTTGGGAGGATAAATAAAGTATTCAGAAACGCGCAGTGACCGAATCTTGATATTTTTGTGGACTTTGTAAATACGGGAGTTCGATATGGTGGTTTAAGTGAGAACTTTGAGAGTCTTATTGTTCACCCTGAGAGGCGAGAGGCTGTGGCCTACTTTTTTATATTTATTGAAATAAACCAGAATTTCATAAAAATATAAGACACATTTGCGAACGGCAGCTCTTCGCCAGAGAACAGATAAGTGGATTCGTTGTGATTGAAGATAGTTAAATTTCAAGTTTAGAGGGCGCGACTCAATTTACAAAACAATTATTGATACTTGGATAATTGAGAAAACCAATTAGTTGGATACTTACAGTATTTTCCAAAATTTAATCCTGAAATAAAAATATGAAAAGAATCTTCTTAAATGGCAGTGTCAACACAAATAGATGAATAAAACCATATCAAATTTCAGACCTATTTATTATCACCATAACAGACAGGGTTTATGAAGACCAGTGTAGAGACCAAATGAGTGTCAGAATATGTAGCATATGTTATCATGAAATATCTTAAAGTAATATGACCGTAAAATATCATAACCATAAATTGTCATAACCATGAAATGATTGTTTCTAGGGGAATTCAAAATTATTGTACAAAATCAAAACTTATCAACCTACACCATGACAAATACCACCTCTTTATATGACTAGCGTTTAGGTATAGCAATCATCATATTCAGACTATAAAATGGGATGTATAAATCTCAAAAAAATTGATTGAACAATAATCTGTAAAAAACCTGAAACCGCTGTCACATAGTACTATGGGAGAGCTTCACAAGAGCTTCATACATGTTAAATATGGTTATGATCAAAATGTTGAAATATTAAATTCAGATTTTAAAAAATGATGGAATAAAAAAACCTGGTCTATTGGAGGGTCCTCTCCAATGGTCTAATCACCCCTATCCAAGGTCCACTATGGTGAGTAGGCATGCTCGTGAAGATCAAGGTGAAGACAGGAACGAAGACAGGAACAAAGAAGTTGATGGACCTCCACAGTCCACAGTAGGGCTCAGTGGTGTGGCTCAGCCGGTCAGCTGGACCGGTTACTACTGGGCTTGATCTGGGCCACCTGTCGACTCTGGTCAGAATAAAATGAGCGACCTGGTCCTCTTGGGAATCATGACCAAGGTCGACAGATTATCCCCTCAGCTGTTCGCTACTAGAAGCCGAAGGCAGCTAAGTCATACCCTAACACCCTGTTAAAAAATTAACAGGTTGATATAACCTCTTGACAGACACGTGGAGAACAGAAAAAAACTGATATTGAAGGGAAATATTGCTCACCAAGTTGATAGTCATTGCTCTGCATATGACTTACCTTCTGAGAAGGGAGGAAGGACTCGAAGAACTATTAGTTTGGAGTCTTCATACGCTGAAAAAAGCCGGCTGCAGGGCTTCCTGAGGACATCAGGCAGTCTCCGAAAAGTAGGAACAAATCCTACACAGGTCCATGACCAGAATCACTGATGTTTTTGAACAATTTCAAAAAATTTCAAAGCCCCCGAAGGGTTTCTACGGATTATACCGAGAAAAGAAAAAATGCTCAAACTGGCTCAAGTGCACACCATGACGGTCGCCGAGAAAAAGCCTCGAGATAGCTACCGGAAATCTCCTCCTAAAATTCCCTATCTAAACTTATCTTATCTAAAGGAGTGCTTCCTGCCAAAATTCAGCGCCAAATATGAAATCCTATTATTTCATCGGTCAGAAGAAAAACACCAGAATTACTAGGTCCAAACTAACAGAAGAAGTACCGAAAAAAGAAAAGAAAAAGAAGAGTCTTCTTTTTCTTCGGTAGTACTATGTCACAACATTGTAAGATTGTGCTTAAGTCCTGCTCACAGAAGATGAGTGACATACTGGACAATGACGTTTGGATGACAATATTGAATATTATAACCCTAAAATAAATTCCAGAAAATGAAGAAAATAATTCTTCCAACACCGAAAATACCAGTTCAGATAGAAAAATCACCTTGAATACTCCCTGAAATAAAGCAGCCACATGGGCTTTATCACACTTGCGAACACACTGGTAAGTCGTTTGTTTACTCTCGGAAGGGACAACAACATTGAACTATTTCTTCGAATTCTAGGCCTCCAGGATCAGAACGCCAGAAATCAAAGACTCCTGCAGCTTATCTCATCACCTCCCATCGGCACATAGAAATTCAGAAGACATTACTAATCATGACTGTTATTATTTCTATGCTGTTATTCAAAAATGTGTGATAAAGTGGTTCATTAAAAGTTACATTAAAGTGCTTCAGGATTTTTTACCAAGTATCAGACTGAATGTTCTCTGTAAGTATGACTTCTTGTCTAGATCTGAAAAGTTAATATTTACAAAATGGTAATGTATGAAACAAAAAAATGAAAATGATTCTTTGCAACTCCAAATGTTGCACTAAAGCACATTCGCTTGAATTTTCATGCAAACGATACTGAAAATTATTTTGTAGCAATTTCAAATGCTACATATACCCCTCTCCTAAGTGAAAAAATTGGTCAATTTATTGGAACAATTTTTGATAGAGGTTAGGCATTCATGCAAATTTTTGGACAATAGTAACTGCGCATAAGTAAAAACATAGTTCACTACCAGGTGAGAGTCTAATCTTGAAAAGATCTTAATCTGGATAAAAGTCAAAATCTGGATAATAAGTCTAAATCTGGAAATAAGTCTAAATCTGGATAATAAGTCTAAATCTGGTTATGGTCTGAATCTGGTCAAATTCTAAATCGGTAAGTCTAGTCCAATTACATGAATCTATCTCTAATGAGAAAAGTATTTACACAATTTTCAAAATGACAAAAAAATATTTACATCCAGGAAACTATGAAGTTCAGGTTGATCAGACCTTTCAGGAATCTTCATCAGGAAACAAAATCACTAAATAACTTGTAAGTATCTAGTGTCAAATAATATTCCATATCTAATCTCAAATATGAAATAACAAGGGTCAAGTAAGCTTACTTTATAAGGAGAACATTGAATCTCAAACTAGGTTCTGCATGAACCATAAAAATTGTTTGTGCACCAACACACCAAAAAAATTTGTCTGTGCACCAACGCACCAAAAAAACTATCTGTGCACCAACGCACCAAAAAATTTATCTGTGCACCAACGCACCAAAAAATTTACAAAAAGAAGTTTTACTCAAAACCAACTAACAGAAGTACTCTGTAGACAAATCTAAGATAATTATGGTCTGAATAAACATTACTATCCAACAGAAACATCTGAATTGGATCCAAAATATTGTTTTAAATCTTTTATATGCCATTCCCCAGCGGGAGAACCATCGATATGATCTAAAGCATATACTAAACGAGATATTCTTTTCCTAACAATATTCAAAACATATTTGGGGGCTAATTCTGCACTAAACTTGCTCGAAGCATCTGAAAGTATCTTATTTCTCCGCCACACCTTTTCTCCTTCCTCAAATATATGATCTCTCTTTCTGAGGTTGTATGATGTCGCATTTCTCTGATAAGCCTTATGTAATCTTTCCTGTACTGTCTTGAAGACATCACCAAGCCCCTTGATATCCTGAACAAAACTATCCCTGTCATCAGGTAAAAGTTCGATATCTTGGGTTTTAGGAAGATTACCATAATATTTGCCAGAGATAGGGACATTTCGACCGAAAGTCAAAAATGCTGGAGTATACTGGGTGACCTCATGTGTGGCTGT